GGGAAACACAGACTTATGAGGGAGACGAGCTGGAAAACTGGCTCAATAGTGACAAGATTAATCTCAACATCCACTGGAGTCCTCTACTGGGAGTGGGATGTATGTTCAGTATCCGGCATACGAGGTGCTCAGTGAACTAAAATACTTAAGGCAGATATATGAGCTTGCAGCACAAAGATTGATTTACTGTGCAATATTTTAACAAATATACACTTGTAGATAGATAGATAGTAGGGGTGCAACAATACCCGTATTGATATTGAACCGTTCGATACAGCGCTTTCGGTTTGGTATGCATATGTATCAAACAATAAAAAAATTTAAATTTATTTTATCAACTTTTCTTCTGACGATGCTGTCTGTGTTGAGAGCTCAGTGGATCTGCATTCGACTACTCTGCCTAGGCTGCACTATTGAGCGCAGATCCACTGAGCGCAGCACAAGCTAGCAAGACAGAAGCGATGCTCGTTGCAACATGGCAAATTTAACCTCCCCCACCCTCATTCAGATCTGGCCTTTGGAACTATTTTGGTCTTCATGTGAAGTATGACCCTGAAGGTAAGCGCATCATGGACAAAAGTAAAACAGTATGTCGGATGTGCCACGCAATGCTCAATTACATGGGTGGGAACTACTGCGTTAGCGCAGTTTGCTGTTAACATGTTGACACCGTCCAGCCCCACGCAGGGGGCGATCCACGGTAGCTCGTTAACGGATATTTGCCGTGTTGTGGCGTTAACGTCATTTCATATTAACTCAGACAGCACTAGTGGGAACAAAATGAATATGACTGCACATTTACTATGACATCATCCTAGTGCAAAGACAAGTGGAAGCAGACAAAAACAACAAGCACTCATGCTACAAACTTTACCCGAGTCATTTAGACAGCCGTTAGCACATGATTCTCCTTATGGGGACCTGATATGTTTAATATGCTGCTGAGAATATAGCCCAGAAGAAGCTTATAGTATAGCTTTTATTTTGGAAAGAGCCATTTCTCTGTAATAAACTCTCTTTTCCAAAGATGAGTGATTTCTCAATCAGATAGATTTATTATTTTATCCCTTTGTAGTTTCAGCAACATTAAATTTAAAACTGTACGTTTGAGTTAAAAAATATATTTATAATTTTAATAAATGACAAATTAAAAAATCATGAACATTTTTTTTGTATCGCAAAAATATCAAACCGTGACACCAAAGTGTCAAACCGAAACGTGAATTTTGTGTATTGTTGCACTCCTAATAGATAGATAGATAGATAGATGCTAATAGGCTACTAGTTTACCTGTGCTTATTAAATCCTATGATTCTAGCATGCTTTCATTCTACCGAGCAGTATGGATGACTGTATCTGAGGAAGCAACAACAAGAAGAAGCCATACACAGCTGTCAGAGCAGATCACAAGCTGCCCCTAGAAACACTTTCTTCTTGTCTCCAGCAATTTTGCAGATGTCCGTTAGCATCCAATGAAGTACATTTAGACATAGAATGGGTTGAATAAATGTGGACATTTTCATCCAGGGTTTAATTTTTCTATCACAGTAATCTAAAACTAAAACTAATTTGCGATCCAGTGCAGGCGAAGGCTGAGATTAATTATTAAAACGTCAGAAATGCACTGTTCCTGTGCTACAGACAGCTTAGTGTGACAGACTCACCTTGACAGTTGACATTAGATTATGAATTAAAAAGGTGAATCATTTAACACTTTAAGAAGACTCGGTCTGAGTATTTCATCTATGGTCATAATAGCTTCAAATGTCATTAGCGGAGAGGCCCTTCGATTTTGCCGGTCCACTCCATCAACTCAGATCCAGCACACGGATGAGTTCACTCGATATGTTCGTTACTGGCATTCAGGGTTCATAGAGCATCATTAGTCACCGTCAGTCTAAGTGTAAAAGAAGTGCACTCTGTTTTAAGTCATTAGTCTGGGAAGATATACTTGAAGCTCTGCATTTAATTACAGGGGCTTTAATTAGTATTTTATTGCATGACACATTTTTATTTAATAAGAGACATACTATTGTATTTAAGTATTGTGGTAACTGCCACAACCTGGAGTACAGGCTGTATAATATCACTAATGTTGTCACTTCACTAAGTGTGCCAGAGCTGATAATGCTTAGCTAGGCCCCAGAGTCTGCCTGGGGGCTGATTGGCTTGGTCCATTATCACATTTGAGAGATTAAACTGCAGTGTAGTCCAGAGATGTGGTCAGAGCCACGGGATGCGGGACGGAGGCCCAGGAAGGACACAAAATGGGCAGCACCAACAAAGAGATGACCTTCAGAAGAAGACAAAGAGGCCTCAGAGCTCAGAATAGAGAAACTTAATTCTCACCCCTGTGCACGAGACTTTGATAAACATCCATGTGTGCCTGTTTCTTTTTTTGGCCACTGCTGATTCATCACTTCATTGCGGTGACAATGACAACGATCTCGAATCATCTTTAGTTTTTTTTTGTGCCTCCGTGCTGTCAGATCCGTCAGTTGCTTTCGCAGCAGCTGGGAACATTGTTCAGGTTCCTCTAACAGCGCTGCATCTTAACTCCATCTCTTTTTGACGTTTGCGATAGATAAA